GTACTCCATTGTATAAAAATACCACAGCTTTTTTATCCATTCCTCAGTTGATGGACACTTAGGTTGCTTCCAAGATCTAGCTATTACAAATTGTGCTGCTATAAACGTGGGTGCACCTATATCACTGGTATGATGTTTTTAGTTCTTCTGGGAATATGCCGAGGAGTGGAATAGCTGGGTCGAATGGGACTTCCAATCCCAGCTTTTTGAGGAATCTCCAGACTGACTTTCACAATGGTTGCACCATTCTACACTCCCACCAACGGTGCAGGAGAGTTCCTTTTTCCCCACAGCCTCTCCAGCATTTGTTGTTGTTGGTTTTCTTGATCCTGGCCATTCTTTCAGGAGTGAGATGGAATCTCAGTGTTGTTTTAATTCAGCAAAATTATTTTGAGAGGGGTGGGGGATTTAGCTCAGTGGCATAAGTACCTGCCTGGCAAGCACAAGGTTGTGAGTTTGATTTGCAGTACCCCCCCCCAAAATTTTTTTTTTGAGGTCATGCGTGTTCTATCAATAGTTCATTCCGTTCTGTTTTTAAGGGATTGTCCATGTAAGAATGTAGCACAGTTTGTTTGCCTGTTCACCGTGGCTGAACATTTGGGTTAGTGCTATTACAGATAAAACTCATTTGTGTATTTTGTGCCTTTGATGCCTGTGTTACTTAAAAATATTTATTTCTGAGTTACAGTATTTGGGGGTTTTCCAATATTCTTCTATTCTCTAATTTAATTCTGTTGAAGTCAGAGAAAATATTTATGAATTGGATTATTTTAAGCTTATAGAGAATCTTGTTTTTCCTTGGTTGATGTTTCATATTAGCTTGAAGAAAATGTGTGTTTTTCTATTACTGGGTATCATGTCTAATCTTTAATGTATATGGTCTAAGTGGAGCTACAGTGTTCAAATCATGTAAATCTTAGATTTTTTTTTTTATCCAGTAAATACTGAGTTCTCTGATGACAATCATGGATATTTCTCCTTGTAATTCTTGCTTGTTTGTGGTTATTTTGGAACTCTGATATTAGGCACACAGTTAGGATTACAATTGTTAAGTCTTCTTGAAGAATTGGCCCCATTGTCATTTATAAAATTGCCCTCTTTTCCCTGAAGTCATCTTCATCTGATGTTAATATAGTTATTCCAACTCTCTTTTGGTGAATGTTAACTTTTCTCATCTTTTTACTTCTGTTATGTCTTTGTACTTTCTTTATACTTAAGTGTGTTTCTTATAGACTGCTTGTAATTGGATCTCGCTTTTTATTCTAATCTGACAGTCTCTAGGAATGTTTAGACCATTGTCTTTGAGGTCATTGTGATATGGCTATTATTGATATGGTTGTGATTTAGTTTTCCTTCTCATCATCTTTCGGATTATTAGTTATTTTCTGTGATTCCATTTTACCTCCTTTATTAGCCACAATTCTTTGTTATTAGTGGAGTTATTCTAGAGCTTGAAGTGTGCATCTTTAACTTACCATTGAGTACTGTTAAGTAATATTACACCCTTTGATATGTAAGAGTCTTAAGACAGTACACACTGGTTTCTTCCCTTTTGGCTGCGTGAGTGTACATGTATGTTAAAACATTAATACCTAACATTGGCCATATTAACCATTTTAAACTGTATAATCCAGTGGCATCAAGTAGATTCTCAATATTATTTAACTGTCACTATTATCTATTTCTCAAACTTGAAATAAAAATTCTATAACCAGTAGCTCCTTCCCCCAGTACTGGCTTATTTTTAGTCTGATGGTCTTTTAATTGTCATGTTTAGACTATTTGTATTTAATGTGATTATTTATATGTTTGATTAAACTCTACCATATTGCTATATTCTACTGGTTTTTTTTTTCTTCTACTGTTTCTGGTGTTGAGAATTGTTGTGATTCTTTTTATCTCCACTATTTTTAAATTTTTGCAGTGGTGGAGTTCAAACCCATGGCCTTGGACATGCTAGGCAAGCGCTCTCCTGCTAAGGTATCCTCAGCCCTAACTCCACTACTGATTTAATAGTTATCATGCCTTTTAAAAAAATTAGTAGTCTCATAATATGTATCTTTAAGTAATCAGAGTCTGCTTTTAAATATTTTTTTACGGGTACCGAGGATCGAACTCACGACTGCCTGCTTGCAAGGCAGGTGCTTATGCCACTGAGCTAAATCCCCAGCCCCTAATATTTTTGTACTTTACATCTTATATAAGACCTGAAGCATTCACAATCCATTCTTCACGATGTTATCGTCACATTATTGGATTTCTGTTTTTGGTATGGACAGTGTCTTTTAGAGCAATAAAAAAATTTTATTGAAAAGTTGAATTTTATTTTAATATCATCTGTTCCATTTCCAGGAATTTCTTTGTGTTTGAGTTTCTGCCTGCTATATTTTTTTTGACTAAAGAATCTTCTTGGGTTAGGAGGGACAGATGTGATCACTGATCTATTGGTAATACAGTCTTTCAGTGTTAACCGAAAAAATTTATTCTTCATGTTTTAAAAGATTTTTTTTCTAGGTATAGATTTATGGGTTGAAAGTGGCTTCTTTGTTAAAGATACCACTGCCTCATCTTCTGGCCTCCATGGTTTCCAACATGTCTGCTGTAGTTATCTTTGTTGCTGTTAAGTACAATATGTTTTTCCTTTGTCTTTAGCATTTTCATGTCTTTTGTTTTTAGCAACTTCAACATAGTATGTGTAGATTAAGGGGTCTGTCTGTCTTTCTTTCTTTCTTTCTTTTTTTTTTTTGGTATTCTCAGATATATCTGTAGTTTAATGTCTGAATAATTTTGAAAAATTCTTGGCCATTTCTTCTGCCCCTTTTCTCCTCTTTTAGTAATAAAAAAGCTTTATTTGTCTTGCAGCTCCTAGCTGTACTGTTGCATTGTTGATATTGTGTTTTCAGTTTGTGAATTAAATTCCATTTTGCTTTAGTTCAGGTAATTTCTTTTGACCTCTTTGAGTCCTTGATTGTTTCTTTGACTCTATCAAACTTAGCAGTGAACCTGACAAAGGCATTCCTCATTTCTCTTACTGTGTTTTTTAATTTCAACATCTCTCTGGTGTGCTTTTCTTTTCTTTTTTTGTTTTTGAGACAGGGTTTCACAATACACTTTAGGCTGACCTTAAACCTGCTTTGTAGCCCAGTCTGGCCTTGAACTCAAGATGAGCCTCCTGCCTCAGCTTCCAGAGTGACGCGATTATAGGTATGTGCTACCACACCCAGGTTCTGTTGTACTTTTTTAACACTAGTTTTTTACTTCTTGGAACAGTAGAAGGCAAAATTTAGATTTGGTTGGTTTATTCTTATGTTTCTTTTTCTTGACTTAGGTTTAAAAAAACCTCTTGACTCGGTAATTACCAAAATAGGACATAGGAAATACATTCAATGTAGCTCAAGACAGCATAGTGTGAGAAAACAGTTCAAGCCTGCACTGGAGAAGAAGAAATGCAGGGTGCATCTACTAGTCTGACGGACTTGCTTGGGCTCAGTAGTCGTCCACCATCTACTCGTTTTTTGTTGGGTTTTTTTTTTTTTTTTTTCCTCTATAAGACTATCAAAATAACTCGCTTTACCCATGTTCAACCTGAATAAAATCAAGATGGGTTACTTCTGTATACCTTGTGTTCTTAAGTAGCTTATGAGGTTCTCGATGATGATACCTTGGCAATGTTAGGTTTCTAGTGTCTTGTAGGGCCATTTTTCGGTTGGTTCCAAAACAGAAAACTTGCTGCATTCTTCATGTGTTTCATGTCTGTCTGGCCAGTCACAAATTGTTCTTTTGACCTTTGCAATTTCAAAGTTACTATACACTGTAAGTTGAATTTCATGGCAAAATCATTCCTCTCCTCGGTTTGTATTTAAGAATGAGTACTCAGAATAGTCAAGCGTCTCTGTATACATGTGAACCCTCTGCATAGGGCAGGTAACTATACTAGAATCCAATGACGTAGATCAAAACCTTCTCCAGCATTTATTAGTCACTGGCCCTATCAACCCACCCCGTGCTCTTGATATTTATTTTCACTGTCCTCTTACTAGCTTCCCTCCTCTTTTCTACCAAACAAGGAAATACTGTTCAAAGATATGAATACATATCACCTTCATTTCTTTTTATTGCTAGAAACATTGATCTTTATCAGTTACTTTTTACTCGTTGCTGAGACAAAATATCTGATGCCCAAAGGTAGGAAAGGAAAGGTTTATTTCTTACAGTTTTTGGAGGTTTCAGTCTATACTCAGTTGGCTCCAAAGCAGGATGGCATGGCGGGGCCACAGTTCATGGTGGCTGCAAACAGCAAGGCATGAGCTGGCAAGAGAGAGAGAGACACACACACATACCTTCTTCCCGCCATTACATCATATCCTGGGTCCACCCCTAGCCAGGTGTAGCACTCACACCACCAATCCAAGTGCTAGACAATGAACCAGTCACAGATACATAATTGCATGAGGCTGGGGGCCACTGACATAAATCATGACAATCATTTATTTTTTTTTCTCCTGTATAATTCTCAACAATTAGTGGGTGGTTTTAAAAGGGACAGATACATACACCAAAGAGCATTTTCCTTTTTTTAGGACTGGTAAGTAGTTTGCAACTAGACCCTTTGCAATATAGCTGAGAATTGAAAAACCTGGGAGGAAGACCATTTATAATATGGGACAGAGGAGACAGCTTACTCTGGTACCTTTTCTGGAGGGGAAAAAAAAAAAACAAAACTGCAGGGTTAACTAAGCAGATATGGAGACGGATCCTGAGTAGTTTTATCTCTGGGAAGTCCTGTGCCTGTACAGTACTTGCTTTGACTTAGCTGTTTATGGTCTCTACTCTTGGTCTGTTATTTTTCCCCCACCAAGGGGAAAAAGGGTCAGTTAAGGAAGAGATGAGTTACCTATGCCAAACTCTCTTAACTCTCATATATAAAAAGTAGAACTGTTAGTATGTGTGGGGACTAAGAATTATTTTATTAATTAACACTAATATTTTCTCTGGCCTAGGAAGCTGAACCACCTATCTCCAGAAATGTCTTCGGAAAGAAAAGAGCAACATGATCTTTCACCAAGGGACTCAGCTGAAGGAAATGACAGTCTTCCCTCTGGGGTCTCTCTGGAACCACAAAAGGAATCAAGTGCTGACTTCAAGCAAGTTGAATCCAGTGATCAATGCAGATCTTATCCTAGGATCTATTTGGAGCCTCAGGAGAAACCAGATACTAACATTAAGCAGTTTGTCATCAAAAAGCTACGGAAGAGGTGCCAGTGTAACTCAACCAAAGCCAAAAATATGATTTTTGGTTTCTTTCCTGTTTTGCAGTGGCTCCCAAAGTATGATCTAAAGAAAAACATTTTAGGAGATGTGATGTCTGGTTTGATTGTGGGTATCTTATTGGTTCCCCAGTCCATTGCTTATTCCCTCTTGGCTGGCCAAGATCCTATCTATGGGCTATACACATCTTTTTTTGCCAGCATCATTTATTTTCTGTTTGGAACTTCTCGTCACATCTCTGTGGGCATTTTTGGAATACTGTGCCTTATGATTGGTGAGGTAGTTGACCGAGAACTACACAAAGCTGGCTATGACACTGCCCATGTTACTCCTCCTTTAGGAATAGTTTCAAATGGGAGCTCATTAGTAAACTACACATCAGAAGGGACATGTGACAAAAGTTGCTATGCAATTAAAGTTGGAGCCACTGTAACGTTTATGGCTGGAGTGTATCAGGTAAGAAATGATGGAACGATTTTTGTTTGTTTGTTTGTTTGTTTTGTAACAGGGATCAAATTCACAACCTCGTGCTTGCCAGGCAGGCACTTACGCTGCTGAGCTAAATTCCCAGTCCCAACAACTGGTTATTTCTAACAGAAATAATTACTATATGTGAAATCTTAGATCCGTTAGAGGTCATAATAATTAAAGTTTTCACTTACGGGGTCTTGGATATATGAATGGTAGAGCCAAGAATTCAAACTTTGGGCTCTACAAGTAAGATAGTCTGATTTTCCTAGGCTGCCTCTTAACCAAAGACTGTCAGCCAGATTTTAATTATTTTGTTGTAAAAATATAGAACACAAAGGGTCCTGAGATGATCCAGTACAACTCCTTAATTTTATGTGTTAGGGAACACGGGGGTTGAACTTATGTGTGCTTGGTTATTGGCAGTCAGCATGAGTAGTCAGGCGAGAGGGTAACAGATGGGGAGTGGCAGGAAGTAACAAGAATAGTACAGAAATAGTATAGATGCCTGTACCTGCCTTTAGAGTCACTGCTCTAATGAGTGACTCTTCCGAAATACAGTAGTTCTCTTAGATTGTTGGAAAACAATGGAAAAGGTTAAGGGCCGCTATTCGATAGGGAAAGTATGGGAAATGAAATTCTCCTTGAGATCTGTAGAATTCACCAATGTGCTATTATCATCATTTCCTTGCCTTTTAGCATCTACACCAACATTAAAACTCTTTTTTATTGCAGTCATTTGGATCCAGCAAAGGAAGGGAGCCAGTCATTATGCCTGTAACCCCAGACTCTGGTAGGCTGAGGCAGGAGGTCTACAAGTTCAAGCCCAGCCTGGACAACTTAGCAAGGTCCTGTCCAAATAAATAGATAAAAAGGGCTGGGCATGCAGCTCAGTGCAAAGGCATTGGGTTCAGTCCCCGGTTTAAAAAAATAGTGATGTGAATCTTTTCCTCATTAGTTAAAGCTTTATTCTTACGACAATGACTTCTACTTTACAGGAAAAAACAATAGTTTTTTAATTAGGAGAATTCTTAAAATTTGAGTTTTTGTTTTCATGTGAATCCTTGAGAATTTTCTTTTTAAGAAGAAAGTGTAAGCAGCAGTTGTTTTCAGCAGGCAGAATCTCTCAGTTTTAGTTTTTGCTAGGCTAGTGATAAACAGTGTGACCTTGGGCAAGTTTTCTCTCCTCACAAAGGGAAAAGACTGATTTTTTTTTTTACTGCATTTATTTTGTCTGACATTTATATTTAACACTTGTGTATCCTCCCTTCCAGGTAGTGATGGGCTTCTTTCAAGTGGGCTTTGTTTCTGTCTACCTCTCAGATGCCTTGCTGAGTGGATTTGTCACCGGTGCCTCCTTCACTGTTCTCACATCTCAGGCCAAGTATCTTCTTGGGCTCAGCCTGCCACGGAGTCATGGCGTGGGCTCACTCATCACCACCTGGATACATATCTTCCAAAACATCCATCGGACCAATATTTGTGACCTCATCACCAGCCTTTTGTGCCTTTTGGTCCTTTTGCCAACCAAAGAACTCAATGAGCACTTCAAATCCAAACTCAAGGCACCAATTCCTACTGAACTTATTGTTGTTGTGGTAGCCACACTGGCCTCTCATTTTGGAAAACTTGAGCAGAATTACAAGTCCAGTGTTGCTGGACATATTCCCACTGGGTTTTTGCCACCCAAAGCACCAGACTGGACCCTAGTGCCAAGTGTGGCTGTGGATGCAATAGCTATTTCTGTCATTGGCTTCGCTACCACTGTGTCACTTTCTGAGATGTTTGCCAAGAAACACGGCTACACAGTCAGGGCAAATCAGGAGATGTATGCCATTGGCTTCTGCAATATCATCCCTTCCTTCTTCCACTGTATTACTACCAGTGCAGCTCTTGCAAAGACACTGGTTAAAGAATCAACAGGCTGTCAAACTCAGGTTTCTTCTGTGATTACAGCCCTGGTTCTTCTGTTGGTTCTTCTAGTAATAGCTCCCTTATTCTTTTCCCTACAGAAATGTGTCCTCGGTGTGATTACTATTGTAAATCTCCGGGGAGCTCTTTGTAAATTTAGAGATCTGCCCAGTATGTGGAGAGTTAGCAGAATGGATACACTTATCTGGTTTGTTACCATGTTGTCCTCTGCTCTGATAAGCACTGAAATAGGCCTGCTTATTGGGGTTGGTTTTTCTATGTTTTGTGTTATCCTCCGAACTCAGAAGCCAGCAGTTTCATTGCTTGGCTTGGTGGAAGAGTCTGAAATTTTTGAATCCCTATCTACTTACAAGAACCTTCAGACCAAGCCAGGCATCAAGGTTGTCCGTTTTGTAGCCCCTCTCTACTACATAAACAAAGAATGCTTTAAATCTGCTTTATATAAAAATACTCTAAACCCAGTTTTGGTAAAGGCAGCTCAGAAGAAGTTAGCCAAGAGAAAGCTCAAAGAGCAAAGAGTGACTCTCAGCGGAGTCCAGGATGATGCTTCACTGCAGCTTTCCCATAATCCTTTGGAGCTGCATACTGTAGTGATTGACTGCAGTGCAATACAATTTTTAGATACAGCAGGGATCCATACACTGAAAGAAGTTCGCAGAGATTTTGAAGCCATTGGGATTCAGGTTCTGCTCGCTCAGTGCAATCCATCTGTGAGGGATTCCCTGATCAGAGGACAGTATTGCACAGAGGAAGAACAAAACCTTCTTTTCTATAGCGTGTATGAAGCGGTGGGTTTCGCAGTAGAATCTCAGAACCAGAAAGGAACATGTGTTCTCAATGGTCTGAGTGTTTCCAGTTGATTGAGAAAGCAGATGAAAAGAGGAATGTCTCATCAACAGGTTAAAATTTCAAACATGCAGTATTTTTCTTCCTTGGAAGATTATTGCCTTTTCATATACGCAAATGCAGCAAAGCTTATAATAGGGCAGAATTAAAAAAGAAAATGCGGTTTCAAGCTTTCATGCATCTGTGAAGTATTCTTGGGATGTTTTAACTAGTGAATTGAGTTGTAGCCCCCAAACTTGATTACCACCTTGATTTAGGGCCTACATTTGGACTTTTCCGCCTCCAAGAGGTAAAGGAGTGAAGTTGGGATTTGCTTTTGCCTGCCTGGAAAGGGAGGAAAAGTAGGCGGAGAATGTATTGCACTTGGTGTCTCTGGCGTCAGCAGGTTGAGAGGCTTCTAGAACGTGAAGTCCTAACTAGACACGTTAGTTGTGTGTTCCTCTCTTCCCAGTCCGTGCTCCCCAGACAGCGGCAGCAGGGCTCTTGTCTTCTGAGTAGGGAATCACTCCATTCCTCTTCTCCTTACAGCGGGGAACATGGACACAGTCTGCTGGCTGGCAGGTGGGTGACACTTGTATCACAGCCAGCCTGACATTAAAAACACCATTTCTGAAGTGAATGTTTCAGTTACAACTTTTTTTTAAGGCAAGTAATCAGAAAATCCAATAGCAGTCCTCTCTCTTTTCGTGATCGCTGTTTGTTCTTGTTTCTGAGACAAACACCACCACCATGGTGACCTGTTTTAGCTGTCAGTTATCCTACTGTGTTTCCCCATGGAATCTGCCCTAAGCTGGCATTTCTGCTGTCAGTGACAGTTACCAAAGCAGAATGCTGACTCAGTAATTTTGAACGGCCCTTTCAGTAGGCGTGAGGCAAATTATCAAGGACACGCTGTAAAGAAGAAGTGGTTTCCTGTAAGAATTAGCTTACTAGGCAGTAAGTTGTGTGCACTCCAACCTCTGCCACTTCCCATGGTATTTTAATAAGGGTCTTTGACAACTGATAGGCTTTCTCATATAGAAGCTGCTCTTCATGGGAAAAAATGCACAAAAGTCATAAAGTACTTCCAAAAAGACATCAGCAATTTTTAGGTGTCTTAGTGAAAACAGTGCCGATACATAAAGCCGTGCACCCTATTGATGGCAGTAAAGGATGATAAGCTTTGAACTCTTCATGTTGCCTAAAGCTGTTACTAAGAAGACTTAAATGCATCACAGTCCTAAAATCCGAGTTCTAGGGTGTATTTATGGTAGTTGGCAACTGGTTGTTTCTTTGGAAAAACAAGAATATCAGACCTGGAAAGCTTAGAGTTCTGTACGTGGACTTTGGCAGGCAAAAAAACAAAACAAAGTTCTCCGAAGAATAAAGGACTAATTTATTAAAGAGTAAAACATCTAGCCAAGTATGTTAAAACAAACAAAATAATGATTGCCAAAGTACAAACTCATTTTTAAAGCCTGATTATGAATATAATGACCCCCATAAACTGCCAGTGTTGCTTTTCTATTGGTAGATCTCTCCCATTTGCTTACATGGAAAATACCTATCTGTTATTCCAACAAAACTTTCTGGATTTCTATCTTCTAGATAATTGATGTTATGATTATATGCAGTATTGTCCTGAATGCTAATATCGTTTTACTATTTAGGCCTGAAATTTTAGAATTTCAAAAATACCAATGCTGCTTGTATTTGTGCTTTTTAGTTTGTTTCTGTTTGCCATTTTTGTTGAGTCTTAAGATTATTAGTTATAAAACCACAGTATCTTGGGTTTTTTTGGAGGTGGGTTTTGGTACTGAGGATCAAACTCATGACCTCGCGCTTACCTGGCAGGCACTTTTGCCACTGAGCTAAATCCCCAGCCACAACATCTTGATTTTCATTCCTTTCTTGTTCCCCAAGCCAGGTTTGAGTTGAGACTACTGTAGATATTAATAACTGACAGTAGTAAGTATTATTTAAGACAGTGCTACAGTTTCTCCAACATCATCACCATAGCAAAAGAATTTCAGGCCAGTCAGTATTTGGAAAATTTCTTGGATGGATAACCAGAGTTACCCTTTACCTGATACAGTGTAGCTATCCTACTCAAATGAGATTCTGCTTTTAGTAGACATTTGTAAAAACTTTTTTTGTTGTGTTTTGAGACAAGGTCTCTTGTATGTAGTTCAGGCTGGCCTTGAACTTGCAGAATCCTTGTACTTTAGCCTCCCAAGTGCTGGGCTTATAGGCACATACCACCACACCCAGCTTGTAAAAACATTTTAAAGTTTCATTAGAATTTACATTTCATCCTCTCTACTTGAATTGCATTCTGCCTCTATTTGCACTTTACTTTTGGGGTGTATATTTGTCTGTGTGGTGCTGGGCGTTGAACCTAGTACTTTGCACATGCTTGGAAGGCTCTCTCCCACTGAGCTACTCAGCCTTCGACATAGGGCCCCACAGAGTTGCCCAGGCTGGCCTTAGCCTACCAAGTAGCTGGAAATACAGTGCATCTTTTGGTATCTCAGGTATATGCCATCACACTTAGCTTTTAAAAATTTTTGACTGTTGATTATTTAAAGAAATCAAACCTTTAAAATCAGATTTGATGCCACCACCAAAATCAATGTTTTTGTTTGCTTTCTTGATACTTTAAGTACCATTTTGGTACAAGAACATCTTGCTTGTTCTAAAGGTAAAAGTCTGAATGAAGCATTTTCTTACTGGTTATTGATAAATATACAGAATTCAGAATGTCTTAAAATGGTTTTCATTTAACTGAAATGTAAAGTGTACTCTTGATAGTTAAAGCACTCTTCCAAATCTATATTTAAATTCGTTACAACAGGAGGGGTAGAGCGAGCCAGTGCAGTTAGGTGTTTGCAAGGAAAACAGTAGAAGAGTGAAGAGAGAATAGATCATAAAGACTGTGTCTGGCCCATGAAAGGAGAAAAGGAAGGGATCCAGATATTAGGAACCAATTCCTGGCTCCACAGCAGAGAGATCAATATTGGGAAGCAAATCTCTGTGAGCACATTTATGTTTCTAGAAGACAAAGAGTCACAGTCTCACCAAAGCTGAAAGCTGAGAAGCACTTGGTCAGGTTGTAGCAAAAGCCAGGATCTGCTGTGGACTGAGATCTTCCCTAAATTTCAGTTGATCTTTTGTAAGGAAAAGAAGGTATGATTTAAGCAGTCTGACTTAGCTTTTAAATAGCAACCAGTGATGTCAAAATTGGTTATGAAATTTACAGTGGTAAATGGTGAATTTTAAGAATGTATGGGGGTGTTAGGTGTATTCATTAGCATATTCTAATGCTAATGACTACACTTTAACAAGACCAATAAAGCTCCAGGTGGTTCTCTTAGTGACTTGTCATTTACGAGCACATTGTCAAAATCAGACCTGATCTTAATATAAAAGTAAGAAAAGGGATACAATACATTTCTTGGGAACTTAAATTGAGTCTCTGAGTTGCACTAATAAACTCAAGGTCTGTGACCCTTGTTTCCGTTACTAGAACTGTAGGTTCTTTGCATCCACATAAATGTTACTTCTGGTAGTTCTGAGGACCCTTCTAGGAGTCGGGTACCAAAGGCGTAGTTTGCTGGGGCACTGAAGGAGGTGCTTTGTAGAGAGCATTGAACCGAAGGCTGAGCAAGAGGCAGAGATGCTCTGGTCAGCTTAGGGAAAGAAAGTCCCGCCATATAATGATAAAAATCCAACAATGGGATTTAGATTTTGTGTACCTTTTCTGTTAGCTTTCTCCTACTTAAATTGTGACTTATTCTAGTGATGCCTTATTTAAAATGAAGCTTAGCAACTGTAAAAAGGATGAAATGAGATCTATTAGACTTTGAACTAATTTACCTCCCCACCCTGTGTATAATGTTTTTAGGTAATCATGAATCAAATTTAGGTGCTCATTATAAAAATTGTAATGGAATGGCACAAATAATATACAGTACCGTCTGCTTTGTTATAGCCTATGTATTAAAGTATAATATTACGGAGAATTTAAATGTAGGAATGAGGAAGTTTTATTTTTATAAATAAGATAATTTTTATCCTGACTTTTTAAAAAAAAAGTTTTTACTTAACAGCTGAAATTTTAAGCATGTTAAATACATTAAAGGCATTATACTAAATTAATTTTTATTTTTTAACTTAGTATAGAATAGGAAGAATGATACTGAATCCTGAAGACTATGTAACAAAGGTCAATGAATACCTTTATTAAAGATGTGATTTATATTATGTCTGCCGGTCAGCCACCAAGTTTCTGTCTGAAGCTTTATGTCTCTAAAATAAGATACTGGAATCAAGTAGTTCTTGCTTTAAAGGGAGTGCCTTTATGTGCCTTTATCTTTTCCTTGCTTTAAAGGAAGTGCCTTGCTGTGAGTCATAAAATATTGGACAAGGGTGAGTTGTTGAAGCATTACCGTCTATTGAAGGGAAGTTGTTGAACAAATTTTTTTGGCCTGGAAAGGTATGTTTGTTTTGCCAGTTATATAAGAGCTCGCATATCTGTTGAGATCTTATTATCTCCTAATAAATTGTTACTCTAATAAAATGCTACTGTGTCTAAATTTATCTTAGTGGAAGGGAGATTCTGAAAAACACATGTCGACACCATGAGCTTTCAAATGCCATCTCTTTACATTTGGAGAGTGATTCATGCTTTTTTTTTAGTCACAACAAAGGTATTTGTCACCATACAAAGACAGAAAGAAATCCAGTTCTTTTCCTTTGGGGACTCAGTTTTCCCCTCAGTGAAGAGGGGAGAAGACTAGATTGCTCGAGAACCCTTCCGGTTCTTACACTGCATGGCTCCTATTGTATAACAGGCTACAATCACAAAATCTGACTCATGTTTTATAGCTGACCTAATTCTGAATTGAGCAAGTGATCTTAGCCCTTTTTTCTCAACGGTGGACTAAAGTTAACACCTTACGATGACTTAAGTGGGAGGAGCTACATTTCTAGCTGAAGCACACTTCACAAAGAATAATTTGTGCCACTGCCCTCTCCATGGGAGGCGCTCTCCTTTAAGCCTTGCAACTTGAAAAAAAACTGGGCAAGGGGCTCAGGACAGGATTCAGTCCCTTTGGGCATTCTGCCCAGTCCAACAATAAAGGAGTTAGACTGAATAGCCTTAACCCTGTGGACCCTCTTCAGCTGCACCCAGAAGCTGATATGTATGTAGGCAGCTATTTAGGTACTGGGGACTGAACCCAGAGTCCTTGGACTGAGCTGTGTCCCAGCCTTTTTGTTTTGTTTTTTCAATTTTGAGACAGGGTCTCACTAAATAGCCCAGATTGAGTTAAACATCCAATTCTGCCCCTGCAGAGATGACATGTGTGTCCTGCCACAGCTGGCCAGCACCTGTCACCTTGAGCCCTGGGAATTGCACTCAAAAGTCATTCTCTAGCATACCCTTCAGCCACCTGGGAGGGCTTTGCTTCCTCATACGGTTGATGAAGCTGTGACTCTTCTAAGCCCTGCATGGTGGCACCCACCTAAAATTCCTGCATTCAGGAGGAGGAGGCAGGAGGATTCTTGGAAGTTAGACTACCCTGGGCTACAAAGTGAGCTCAAGTCCAGCCTGAACTACATGTAAGACCTTGACTCAGAAGAAAAAAGGCTCTCCTCAGAGAAATACACATGCAAATATGCACATAACAGTAAAATGGTTTGTAAACCCCCACCCCTTACCTTGAACATACCTTGCATTGTAAAATCCACACCCCTATCAGGCCGACCTTGAATTCACCACATAGCTGAGGTTGGCCTTAAACTCATCCTGCCTCAGCCTCCCAAGTGCTAGAAGTATAGGCATGTGCTACCATGCCCCGCTTCACATATGTGACTTTAGTTACCTTTCCCTGTGCTAGCAGCAGCTAAAGACGATTTCTAGCCTGAACTCTTCTAGTGTACCTGCCAGCACCTGCTATGCAAGATCTCTACGCTGCTTTTGGACAGCCCAACCTGGGTGCCGAGACATATAAAACATGTTTCACAAACGTGCTTTGCCTTCGTTGTTTTGGTTTTTTGGTGCTGGGGACTGAACCCAGGACCTTGTGTAGGCTAGATAAGTGCTTTTCCTCTCTTTTGATGATAGCATGATCCAAACCACTTAAGCTAAATACGTGGGTACTTGGAATCGTCCTTCTCAACTGCCATACCAAATCCATTTACTTTGTAAATGGCTGTCAGATCCAGTTCTCCCTCCCGCCCTCAATTTTCATTATTTGTCCTCTGTACCGCATTCTAGCTACTTTATCTGCTTCTCAGTGTAGTGTCTACACTGGTCATCAATTATTGTACTACAAAAACTTGACTCTTGCTACTTGTCAGTAGTTCTTCAGTGTTTGCAGGATAAATTCAAAATTATTCGTCTAGTCAACAAGACCTTAAAAACCGTGCCCCTGTTTACATCTCTAACCTCATGTTCTGCTATGTGACTGACCTTTGCCTGACGTATCAGCTACTGACACTAGGTGTTCCCAAATGGGCCATTTATTAAAGACCCCAGGTTTTTATGCCATTCTGTCAGGAGGTGCCTCCCACCCTCACCTGCCTAGTCTGGCCAAATATTTATCAAATGCCTTGCTGTTGGTAACATTTCCTAAAGAATTATTTTTCTCTTGTTCGGGGGCTGCAAAGGCTCCAATCCTGTAACCCTATAGAGTCCACACATGTTTCCCAACATGAAGTTCACCTCTCTCTTTCCTCCTCATGTATCTACTCTCCTACGGGAACTTTCTGAGGGTTGGGCCATGTACTTCATCCCCGGGGCTCTCAGCAGGCGATAGTAGAATATAAACCTGAATGTGTTTGGTAGATAATTATTTCTCTAGCACTGTCTCATTTCCAGAGCATTGAAGAGAGACGTCATGAGGTGGAGAGATGGTCTGAGGTCCAGTTAGTGGTAGGTAGTTGTTTGAATAAGTCTCACATCCTTATCTCTTCCCAGTTTGCTTGTCTTCCCTCTCATCCACTGCAGAGAAAGCACAAGGGACTTGCTCCTAAGGGTTTTTCCCTGGTTGGCTAAATTCGCTTCCCACCTTTGCCCTCTAGTGGTCAGATTATGCTACCACGTTCCACTTGTAAGAGTCATGGCCTTGGGTGGCACGAACAGTTAACGGTCTATCAGATTGGAGTTAAATTATTTGAGCCTGTTTGTGCTTTTGTATTATGATTTGCTAGAAACACTAAATGAAACTGTGCTTGACATATAATCAGAAATCAATAAATATGAGTTTTCTTCCTGCTGAACAAAAGGACCCTTCTTAGTTAACAAAGAAAACTGTTAGGGCCAGGGATTGAGCTCAGTGGCACAGGCACCTGCCTGGCATGCACGAATTCGTGAGTTCGATCCTGATACCAAAAAGAAAAGAAAAGTCCTGCAGTTATCACCTGGAATGCTCAATACCTCAAGATCTGTTATTGGAAGAAAGGGTCGTAAGGCAGGTATCTGTAAATGGTAGTGGTTAAGTTTGAGAATGGGATGGGCAGTAATGACAACAGCAGTTAAAGAACACTTACTCTGTGCTAGGCGCATCTTTTAATCTTCCTGAGAACACAGTTGAGGTTCCTAGTTATCCATTAACCTAGTTGTATAATGGAAAGTATTAGTCAGTGGGGGCAAAAATGTTGCTCATGTGGCACAATTCACAAAGTATGGAACCAGCCTATGTGCCCATCAGCAGATGAATGGATAAAATGTGGTGCATATACACACAATGGAGTATTAGTCAACCATAAAGAATGAAATTATGTGATTTGTAGGATAATGGATAGAACTGGAGATGGTTGTTAAATAAAATAAGCCAGACACAGAAAATGAATATCCCATGTTTTTAAAAAGGCATAAAAGGAAACTATTATTATGTAAAAGGAAAGGGATAAGGGTAAAGAGGAAGAGATTTAAAGAAAGGTAATATGAGAGTAGATTATATCAAAATATGTCACATGCAGGCCGAGCCTGGTAGAACATGCCTGTGAACCCAGCACTCAGGAAGCGCAAGTTCAAGGCCACTTTAGGCTACAGAGAGTTCAAGGCGAGTGTGAAATGCATAGTAAGACCCTGTCTACAAAATGTCTCCATGTGGGAAAATGCTACATTGATTCTTTTTTTTGTACCAGGGATGAACTCACGACCACGTGCTTGCAAGGCAAGTGCTTATGCTGCTGAGCTAAATCCCTAGTGAAAATACTACATTGAAATTACAGCATACTGTAAATTTAATAGGCACTGATAAAATATTTTTTCCAAAGAAAGAAATGAGTTTGGCACTCAAATGCTTGGAAGACCAGAGATACAGGGAGAAGCCACAGAGGGCCTTACAAGGAGTACAGGCCAAGAAGGGGTAATATCAGCCTCTTCAATTTAAAAAGCAAAATTCTAAACTAAAACCCGAATGTCCAAAAGAGTAAAAGATTTTGTCAATGTAAACTAAATTGCAAAAGCCTTCTGTTTTGGATATGGTTTTCACTCCCAGATCTAAATCATGGTGTTAAATGAGCCTTAACATTAAATTCCAACACCTATGATATACATAGTGCTTAGATGGAAACTTTCTTTTTACTAATCTTCTGTGTGTATTATTGGAGGCAAAAAATAATCTACAGTGATTTTTTTGGAGGAAGGACACAGGTTTAACTCCATATAATAAATTCTTCATTATTAAAGAAGACAATATAACCTAAATTGGAATTACGTTCAAAGTGGTGATATTTATGGAAAACCATTTAAAATCAAAATCTTGTTCTATCCCCAAACCATTTTCTAGTTTTTGAATAAGGTGGCTTTATCATATCGCAGCACTAAATGCACACCCATGTTTATAGTTTGTAATAGCTAAATCTTGGAGACAGCCAAAATGCCCATTAACCAATGAAAATGTTCAAATGGGAAGGGGACTAAGGAGGAGGGTAGGGGAGAGAAAGGACGAGAAAAGAAAAAAATAAGAGGACTTCCGGGAGAACATGGCGGACAGATAACAGCAACTACCGGAGGCTCTCTGAAAGACTCGGCTCAGAAGCCAGGAATGGTGTGGACTAAGGAGACATAAGCAGGTGGAGATATGCTCTGCTGACTCAGGAACGAACTGGGCTGAGAGAAACCAACTTGGAATGCATTCCTGGTGCTAAAACAGGAACAGAAAAGCCTTGGTGTGGAGGCTGGACCCCGCGCCAGTGTAAGCAGCGATTTGGGTTTCCCGCCACGCGGCAGCTGGCTGCCTCTACAGCGGCTCAGCAAGGAGAGAGACGTGCGGAAGCTCTGAGAACGGCAATCTGCGAACGGCAGGGAGGCGTGCACTGACTTGTGGCGAGGTGAGTGAGAGAAACTGACACTGTACCACACTCTACCACAGTTTGACTCCAGCGGAGGACTTTCTGGGCCTGAGCAGTCCTGCGGGAGCAGGGTGCAGTGGCGACTCCAGCCACACATCCCCCCCTCGGGCGGGATTGGTGAAAAGTGCCTGGCCTGTGTGACGCTGCCAGCGGACCTGGTAGACCGTCCCAACCCAGATCCCAGAGCCTGACGGTGGCTGGGAGGGGAGACAC